GCCACAATTTGAGATTTTGGAAGTTATTTTTAAGAAAGAATATCAGATGCTATATAAAAAATAATTGCAACATGGAAAACTCCAAATGCTTCAGTAGAAGGTCACTAAACTTCTCTTTTTGTTTCTTGATGATGTTTCACTTCTCACCCAAACAGCTTCCTCAGGTCTAACTGAGTGATGGGGCGTTCCCTAAATCACATGACTAATGGCCCAAGAGCACCTCAAGGTGTCGTTGGTGACGAGATCCCAGGACTGCATTATAAGTACCTGATAACTGATGCAGTAGATTTTTTCCTCTGTATAAAGATGGCTGTTCCAGTTTCTTTGCTCTTCTCTCAAACCATCTGTCTTCTCTTTCCAAACACTGCTGTCCTCACAGCACTGTCTCTTATCCGTCAGAAGCAGTTGGACTGCTGAGTCTTGTCCTGAGGAGCTTGTTTAGCCTCCCCTACATAGACTGTGGGTCTGTGCACCCCTTGCTGCCTTTACAACATTGCTCAACTTGTGTTTAGGTGGGTGTTTTATCCTCAGGGTGAACCAGTTTTGAGCGTTGCTGGGGCTGAAGTGCACGAAACATCCCGTGTTTGGAGAAAATCCCTCTAAGTTTCTCAGACACACCAGCTACATAAATGATGATAATGCTGTTCCACTTGTTTTCTTTTTTTTTTGATGTTGTTTTGTTTTTTCTGGATTTTTTGCTGACTTCACAAAGGCACAGTTGGGATAGCCACAGGTTTTAAATACTTTAATATGTGGGTGCTCCCTTTCTTTTCTTTCTGTCTTGGTAGGGACATTCTCTGCCTGCTGCTGCTGCAAGGTTCTGATAACCTCCAGCTTACGCTCCAGTGGGCGGTGGGAGTCCAACAGAAGGTATGTGTGTGTGTAGCTTTCTGATAAACTTCTGTGCCGAAGCGTACACCGTGCTTCGTGTGCAGAGCACTCTCCAACAAAGGGCAGAATCACAACCATTCGCACCTCGAGGCATGTGAGCTTTGGGTCGTTAACAGGCCATGTGATTTGGAGGTAAGAATAAATACCTGGGACTCCTCACCTGTCAGGCAGAACTGAAGAAGTCTCTTGGATGAGACATGAAACAACTTCAAGAACCACAAAGAAAAGTCAAATTTCCCTCTGTTGAAGTGCTTAATATTACCTAACCTTGATATCTATATGTATCTATACGGACAATGTGAAAGTTTGCTTTGAGCCAATGCATTTATAGGCATTCTGTATGTGACAGCAAACATTAGCATATGTAAACCAATACAAATGTCAAATCTGATTGAAGAATTAATTGATGATCAAACTATATTTAAAGTCCAATGGAATCTTCTGTACTTCTGGGAAATGCTTTGATTTCAAATACTGCTATAAAATCTGTGATATTATTGAGAAACTCCCACAGCCTGACTTTTTAAGCTGTAAGATTTAAAGCATTCGTGTGTGACCATGTGAAACATTCTCTTATGTAGGTTGTTACATTTCCGTGCTGTGTATTGGAATTTTGGATTTAGATCAGATTTTAGATTAGTAATGTTTGGTGTGTGAGATATGTGCAGATCTTTTCACAAAACTTAACACCTCCAGCATTCGTTTTAAATAAATTATGCAGTTGGACACAAATTATAAATTCAGAGTATTGTCCAGTGCTCAGAGAATGATGAAAAATAACACAATGTTAGAAATTAGAAGCTAAAATACTTTCTTTGATCAAACTTAAAAATTATACTATTATGCAATTTGTAGAGCTAAACTATCAAATGAACTTAACCTGTAGCTTTCATCGTCATTACACATCTGTGACTTAGAGGTATTAAGACGGCTGTTTATGTTTGCTGTTGAGTTCTTCCATTAAAAGTCGTGGCAAAATTATGTTTGCTGATGGGAAATGTATCTGCAAGTTCCTCCCTGGTGTTATTTTCTCTCTGGCACTAACAATAGTCATGCTGCTCGCTGTGCCCTTCGGCAAATATCACATTTATTAGTCTGATAAAAGACAAACAAAAACATACAAGTGTCTTATCTACTGGTGGCAAAACTAATAAATATTCAAAACTTCCTTCATATTATGAATATTTCCTTTTTATTTAAAAAGCTGCCAGAATGAATTTTAATTATATTGTACGATTGTGTGCACTGACTAATGAGCGGTGAAAAGACACCCTTGACTGCTGTGTTAACCAGGAGAGGGCAGTATAGGACAGCATAGGGCGTTAATGCACTTATCTTGAATATAAAAACAATTACAGCACCTGTAATAGATTAAAAAAAAAAAAGAACAAAAAAAGAAGAAGTTTTAAGTTGTCATCCTAGTTTAATATAACAACAGGTAATTTTGCGTGGCTGGCTGGAGAGAAAACCCACAGACTCTTGGCTCTCCATGACACATGAGTGGACAGCACTGGATTAAGCTAATCATTATCAAATGAATCACTGATCAAATATGGAGCCTTTCCAACTCCCTGCTGATAAGCCATGTTGTTGCCAGAGGGGAAACAGCAGTGTGGGACTTTAGATACTCTATGTCTCAGTGCATATGTTCAAATTTTTATTCAAATTTCTGGTCAATTAAAAAAATTACAATTTCAAATGTGGAAGAAATATATGTTTGGTATGGATGCTGTGTGCATGTTGTGTATCTGTATGCATTCGAATGCAGTATAGTTTTTACATGTCTTCCAAATAGCATCATCCTCACTGTCAATTAATTCATTAAAAGAGTAACAAAGACATCCTGTGCTGAGGAGAAGGGGCTGCCTTGGAAGTCAGCTTTTACACCACTGCTTTACACATTATAAAAGGTTCAATTAACTCGTGCACCTTTAGCGGTGCGTTTAATGAAACAGGTGCAAAGTCTTGCCCGCCATTAAGATCATACCGCAGTGCACATTCACTGCAGATGACTCACTTGGATATTTGTTCTCGATATCAGAGCCTCATCTGACAATTCCTCACACATCCTGCAGTTATAAAAAAAACTGAGGTTAGGATCCTCGATCTAAACGCTTTAGTCAATCCTTAAAGGCCACTATTAGTGTCTCTAAGACCTTGTTAATGTGAAGGCCGGACAGTACGCCGG